CAAGTCTCCGAGGCTCTGCTTCTATATATCCCGTAAACCTACCTCCCACAGTTGCTGGGAGGAGAAAGTAGGGACCATTCATTCGTTCCTCAATCAAATATTTACTAAGCATTTAATACACAATGTGGCGTGCACAGAACAGGCGTGGACCCTGCCCTCCTGGCCGTAAACCTACCTCCCACAGTTGCTGGGAGGAGAAAGTAGGGACCATTCATTCGTTCCTCAGTCAAATATTTACTAAGCATTTAATACACAATGTGGCGTGCACAGAACAGGCGTGGACCCTGCCCTCCTGGGGCTTACAACCTTGAGAGAGGGAAGACATGAAACAGCAACACAGACAACCGTTTACAGCTGTGAAAAGTGCTAAAGAGGCACTCACTGTTTTTAGGGCATCTAACAGGAGGTTCAGGTTGTCCAGTATGGCGCTGGGAATGTCATCTACGGGAAGGAGCGTATTTCAAGAGCTGAGGCAGTATGAGTGAACACATCATTATTAAGCAAGTATTCTATTACTCTTTCATTACTAATACTGCTGAAAAAATGATTACATATTATTAGTGAAGTTCAGCAACAGAGAAGTGGGTAGAAGATATAACCCAAGAGGCTTTTTTCATAGGATAGGAAACTGCAAAGTGTACCAAAGGGTTAAAGTCATTTTCATTAAAATTTAAATTTCAGCAGGCGCTCACTCTCCCTTCCCCGTCCTTTGAACGTTTGACTGGCAACCATTTCATATTTCAATCTCGGCAGAACAAATTGAATTAGATGTTGAAACCAAGCTCGGCTCTGTTCACCAAAGCCTGCATGCTCAGCTCACACTAATCCTTTCCCAGACGCTGCAGAGCACAGACGGGCGCTGCCACAAAAGACAAAAAAGACCAAGGAGGCAGCAAAAGGAGAGAGGAAAAACATACGGGCAAAGGCCACTGGAAATTGTCTTCTGCCTGACGTTGGGTCTTAAGGCCCAGGAGACAGATCCTTGTATCCACCCGGCAAGGAACACCCTGTGGAGGCACGCAGGGGTGACCTGGGTTTCTGTCCTCAGATCTGGGGCGCCCACCACAGAGCAATGTGCTAGGCACTGTGGTGGGCACCCCAGATCTGAGGACAGAAATGGATGAATGGATGAATGAATGAGGGTGGGGATTCGCTCTGCCAGCCTGTCTCTGGCTTGTACCCTTTCCTCCTCTCTGCAGAATGGCGGTGGCTGTTCTCCATGTGCCCACCCCTTCCTGAGAAGTGATGCCTGGTGCCTCCCTGCATCAAGGTGCTATGTTGGAACCTGAGATCACTGGTCTCATAGCTCTCCAGACCCCGCCCTGGGGTGCAAACCAGCCAGGGGATGACAGCTTGCGTTTCTGGAGAGGAAGGAGGCAGAGCTCCTGGCCTGTCTAAAGGTTCCGCTTCACACTCTGGGATGAGCCCATGCTATCTGGCTTTTTCTTTAAACTGCGTATAAGTCTGTGGACTGGCCTAGAAGCACTGGCCCCTGAGTCTGGCTTTCAGAAAAGACAATTCTGATACTGCAGCTATCCAGTCCCTGCCTGCGTGGGACCCTCCAATCCAAAAAGTTAGTAACAGACACAGCAACACAAGGGCAGTCACTCCCAGGGGAGGTCTTGCCTGTTTTCCAGCAACCACTGGGCCATCTTGGGTTGGCTCTGGCAAGGAATAACCGGGTAAATGATATGCTGGGTCTACTGCTCTGGGGCTGCTGGGCAGAGAGGCGCCTCCTCCAGGCCCCTTTCTGGACCCAGGAGCTCAACCCTGCCCCATGCCCATGGACATGGGTCCAGCTGGCCTGTGATACACACACCTGGGTCTGACCTCCTTGGGCACTTGCTGCATGTAGTCCACAAGCTTTCCTCCTTGTTGAACAATAATGCTAATAATAATAGTTGATAACTACCATTTATTTAGCTTTCACTAGGCATAAAACCGTCTGCTAAGTGCTTTCCACCTGTGATCTCCTACTTATTCTTTAAAAAGCCCTATGAGGCAGATATTCTTGTATCCATTTGAAAGACAGGGAAAATGAGGTTTAGAGATGCTGAGATCCTTGAGGTTCTGGCCCAGGCCTTTTGATTTGGGTCCTGTGTATTCTGCTCTTCCTCCCCACCCCCCACTATCACTCATCCCTGCCCCTCTTTAAGGCCCTGTTTGACCACCCGTTGCCTGTACCCTGCAGCGGAGAAGCTGGGACCCTCCTCACCCGTCCAGGGGTGGACCCTCGGTGGAGATGAGACCTGGACAGACATACGGAGTGAAGGGATGCCCCGGATTTTCTCCTCTTCCAGCCCACCAGACTCCCACTGGTGCCCACCACCAGCTAAACCCAAATAGAAGCCTGCTGCAAGGGAAACTGGGAAAGACAGGGGCCAGGCCCAAGATTCACAGCAGATGGGGGTTGGATGTGAGGACATGCAGGTGTGGTTAGCCCTTCCCTCCTCCCTACTAATCAAGTCTCACTCACTCCTGAACATGCAAGCCCATGGGCCTTGTCCAGGTGTAACTGCCTCTGGCCTTTCTATGCATGTGACCTACAGACCTCCCGCCTCCCTGTGTCACTGTTCCTCTGTTCTCTCAGCATCACCTCTCCTCTTTCAGTGCTCGCTCTGGTCCAGCCCCCATCACAGTTCTCCTTCTGGCTCCCTCCCACCACCTGGAGGTCACAGACCCTTTGAGAAATGGCTGAGCCTATCCTGCTCCCGCACCAGTCTCTGCATGGACCGGGAGGCTCACGGCCCAGCTGCTCATCCAGACCCCGGAGTAGCACTCCTTCCTCGGCTGCTTCCTCTAGGGGTCATTTCTAGGATTTCTCTCCCCCATCTTCTAGGGGTCTGGGACCACTGATATCCCATCGTTACTTCACACTCAACCAAACCCACTTCCAGGAAGCGCCCCGAGCCCCACTCCCTGGGGACAACAGTGACTGTCACTCTCCTGCTGCCCTGGCTCAAAGGCTCAGTCGCCAGTTCACCCTGCACACCCTGGAGGGGTGCACTTGCTGCCAAACGCTTTCGTTAGTCCCTCTTCTCCAAAGGAAGAAATGACGAAGCCCCTCCTCTGGCCAGGTGACCACTTTCCCTAGCTCTGCTTTCTTGTTATCTAGCTGCACTTTATTTCACTCCAGAATAGTAATGATGATGGTGATAAAGGTTGCAATAGCTTTAGTACTTCATGTTTAAAGCAATGATTTTCAGGGAGTAAATGTCCCAGGTGTTGTGACTGAAAGGAACCAGGCTCTGGGCCAGGGCCAAGGGGCTGGGCTGGGCATGGGCATGGGAGAGGAGCACAGTGTGGCTACTGTAGATGTGTTGATCAGGGTCTTTCAGTGAGGAAGTGGAATTTAAACTAAGATCTCAAAGGAAAAGCAAAAAAAGGAGTCAAACAGGGAAAACATGCGGGAAGGGCTGGGGCAGAGGGACGGCAAGTGCAGAGGCCCTGAGGCGGAAGGTGCTGGGAAGAACGAAAGCCAGAGCGCAGCTGGCCGGGGACAGGAGAGCCGGGGCCCTGGCGTTGGCCCGAGGAGTGTGACTTACTCTCAGGGTGTATGTGGGGGAGGCTCTGAGGGGTTTTAAAGTATGGATCGACATGATCCAGTTCATGGATGCAGCCAGATCATGCTGGCTGCGTGTGGAGAGTGGCGTGCTTCTGAGCCGAGAGTGGAAGGGAGGAGATGAGGTTCAGTCACTGTGGGCTTGGCACGAAGGCAGGGTTACGCGGTGTCCTGAGACCTTTATGGGAGTTGACTTCTCCCAACTGCTTACAGGTCTGCCCCACCTTTTAGACAGTGCACCCCCAGGGTAGCAGCAGAGGCGGGGCTCGGGGAGGAGGGTGGGAAGGGGACACGGTCTCCCAGCTTCCTCACTCCCCATGGCTGGTTTTGGACCAGATCTGGTGAGTAGCTGGTACTTTCACTCCTCCTCGTTCCCTTGGGCTGTCAGATTCTTACGATCCCCCTGACTCCCTGCTGCTCTTGAGCTTCCTCTGGCTTACTTGCTTTTTGTTTTGGACACATGGAAAGCAGCAAAGCACGAAGGTAAAAGACTGGAATCTCTGGGATCAGACCTGACTCATGCCCTACACATGGCACTCATGTGTGACCTTGGACAGGTGCCTGAACTTCTCTGGGCCTCTCAACACTCCTGTGACAGAGGTGCTGTTTGCATCATACCATTTTAAAGATGAGAACTCAGAAGGTTAAGTCACTGGCCCAAGCTCACGAGGTTGGTGAATGGTGGGTCATTGCCTGGAGTCCAGGCTGCTCTGAATGCAGCGACTGAGTTCTCTCTGGTCAGCGCTGAATCCCGCTCTGGGGGAGGTTCTAGTAGCATCACCCTGGTCAGTTACATCAGTGCCAAATGACGCCTGCCAGGCCCACAGGTCTGACATAATGTTTTGGTGACTACAAGGCCACCCCCCCAGGTCTGATGGTATAGCAACGTGAGTACAAGCTGCATAATACCAGAAGGTTCGGCCAGAAGCAGCCATGAACCCCTGAACAGGATGAGTGGTGGGAAGGAACGGGGCAGGTTCCCAGCCCTGTCATTCCCCAAGACCCAGGGCAACTTGGGAGCCTGGTTCCCTGAGGGTCAAGGCCGGCTGTGGTTTACCATCCATCCCACTGTACAGCTCCCACGCCCAGAAGGCTGTGGCCAATGTAAGGCCTGTGGGACACCACACTAAAATAGTTGGGCAATGAGCCACTCTGGGGTTGGTCTTTTGTTTCCACTAACTCTCAGGGACATGCGTGGATTGATAAGACAGCCCCTGCCCTACAGGAAACAGGGAGGCAGCTTAACTTCCCAGGGCTGCCAGCACCATGTAGACTTTCTTGGTTTCCCGGCCGCTCTGAAAATTAGATGAAAGTTAGAAGTGCATCCCCAGAAAAATGCACAGACCAAGTTTTATGCACAGTCAGAAGACTCCTGGACTCTCACCTGGAGCCCCACCCAGCAATCCCAAATTAAGAAGTAAACAAAAGAGCCGACAAGCATTTTCTCTGAGCTTTACTTGGATTGATTCCTTTAATTCCAGCACCACCTATCTGAGCTAGGCACAATTATCACCCCCATTTTATAGAAAGGAAAACTGAGGCTCAGAGGGGACATCATCTGTCTAAGGCCACACAGCTGGGAATGGGTGTATCTGGTTTCGGATCAAGGTCAGACAAGCCGTAGCTCTGTTCCTTCCTCTCCCCCATCTTGGCCTCTGGCTAGTGCTGGCACAGCTCTCCCCACGGGGGAGGCTGCATCTCAGGCTGGAGCAGCCTTGGGATGCTGCCCGGCAGGAGTGAGGACGATGCATTTCACAGGGCCCCCAGCCCAGGAGCGGAACACGTCTGCCATCAGTGACACAGCTCAGCTCAACTAGGGAGACCTGTGCCTGGCCTTGGAACTTGATGCTTGCGAGCTGTTTGGAGGCTTCCCTGGACGACTAAACCAGTGCTTGTGGTCCCCCATGACGAGGATGGTACAGGACACAGGCCAAGTCCTGAGCTGGGTACAGTCTCTTGGACAGACACAAGTGGGACTCCTAGTTCAGCAGCCCTGGAGGGGAGAGCAAGAATGGAGGCTTCTGCAGCCAGTTGTAACCGCTCAGGACAGAGACTGGTGCTTTTCATGGATTATCGTGTTTATTCCTTACGCAAACCTGATGAGGTGGAAATCAACAGAGAGGTGGAGGCTGGGCTCAGGGATCGGCACCTGGGCCAGGGTCTCCCAGCCTGACCTTGGTGGATGGGGGCTGCGTGCCCAGATGGCCTAACTCCAGAGAGTGGCCCTTGTCCTCTGATGCTCTGCTGCCCTTCGGCTGGGGGGTGTGGGATGCAAGGGTCCTCAACTCCAGTATAGTTGTGCACCCTTGAGCAAATCCCCATGTCTCTGCATCCCGACCTTCCCATCAGCAGAAGAGGGCGCCCCTGTGTGGCTCTCAGGGCCACTGGGAGGAGGAGCCAGTGGGAGAACTCATGTCACGGGGCAAAGGGTGGGCTTGGGGAGGGTCGGCTTGTTTGTGCTTGCTTCTGGGCCCTTGCTGCTGCCATGAGGGACTTCCTAATGTGGCTGTACCCTGTCTCACCCCCTTGGCCCTCTGTGCCTAGCACAGAGGAGGTGTGCAGTGCAGTCAGTGTCTGTTGGAACGCGTCAATAGTGAAGCGTCTGGAGTCTGGGGTGCCTAGGCGTCTGCAAGGTGGACTGAGGTCATCATCCCCTCTGACCTTGGACCAGTGGAGGGTGGGCCACCTGCCGCTCCCCCCGCCTCCAGCCCACATGGTAGGGAGCACAGAAGCCACAGCGGCTGTCCCCCGTCCCCAGGGCCCCAGAGCCACGTACCCTCGGTGCCAGCTCACAGCTGAAGGGTTCGCTCCTCGCTGTCGTTTTCACTGTCTTCCAGCTGCTCCAGGATCTCGTCCAACACCACAGACCGCTTTTTCTTCAGGGGCTCTGTGGGAGCCCAGATGGCAAGAGAGGAGAAAAGAACAGCCGAGATGGGTGGAGGGGCAGGAAGAGAGAAATGAGAGAGAGGGAGGGAGGGGAGATGAGCACCACGGGGTGGGTGGGGGGACAAGAGAGGAGAAATGGGAGAATAAAAGAGCAGGAGATGGTGGGAGAGAGGAGAGAGGAGACGGAAGCAATAAGAAAACATAAGAAACGGGGGAGAGAACCAGAGGAGGGATGAGAGACGGAAAGAGAACGGAGGAGAGACACACACTGGGTTAGTTTCCAGCTTCAGCACGGGGGAGCCGCCTGTCTCAGGGCTCCTTCTTCCACCCCCTCCCCATCTTCCACGGGCAGGAAAGGGAGCCCTTCAGAGAGGGAAGGAGGAAGGCTCCTGTATGAGCTACCTCCTCCCAGCAGGTCGGAGGTTGGCTGGGGTGGGGGGAGCTGAAAACCTCCAGAGAGGGTGAGCCAAGTGCTGGGCAGCAGCTGGGGAAACAAGGAGCTACTATTTTCTTGGAGGCCACTGACTCTCGTGGTGAAGTAAGTGGCTGGTATACAGTAGGTGTTCAGTAAGTGCTGGGTGAACAGATGCAGAGCTCAAGGATTCCAGAGGAGGCATGGAGGGAATGACAACTAGAGGTGGCTTTGGAGCGGAGGGACTTGGGCTTTGAAGAATGCAGAGGAGTCCTCCGTGAGGGGACAGAGGAGGGGACAGAGGCCCAGCAGGAACAAAAGCAGGGAGACATGAACGGGCGTGGTGGGCTTAGCCACATAAGTGCCTCCTGGGCCCCGAGCACTGCCCATAGAACACCTGCTATGTGCGACGACAGTGCTACTCCCCTGAGCAGCCTCACAGGCAGGGAACTGAGTCACAGACAGGTAGGTCTAAGGTCACCCAGCTGGGAAGTGACGGAGCCAGGATTTGAAGCCAAGTCACACCTAAGCCCAGGGTGTTTCAACTTTTCATGAAAGTCTCCAGTGCCAGCCAGAGAACGGTGTCAGGAGAAGGGGCGCTGGTCCCCTTGGCCCTCTAGGAAGGGAACGGGGTTGGGGAAAGCTGGGCTCTGGGCTGGCCTGCTCTGTTCGTCCCTCTGCTAGTCTAACCACTCATTAATGGGCAGCCTCACTCACAGATAAGGTGTGATTTGTGCAGAGGCAACTGTCCAAATCCCCTCCCCTTCCCTGGTTCAAATACCTCCTCCTCTGTGAAGACTCCCACATGGAATAAATCACCCCGTAACCCTTTGCCTCCATCTCCCTAGAGGGCTGGGAGCTCTCTGTGGGCAGTGGCTGCATCTTTTCCACCCAGCTCTCCCCAGGCCTGGCACAGTGCTTGGCCTGGGGATGAAAAATCTGTTCTCTTCTGGGTGGTCTTGGGCAAGTGACTTCACCTCTCTGAGCCTACTGCATCATCTCAGTCCTCCCAAATCGATCCAGGCACTGGTCCCTTCTCATCTCCGTTGAGTGTGCCCCTGATCCATGCACCTCTCACCTCCTCACCAGGACCCCTGCCCCCTCATCCCTCTAAAGACTGTGTGTTGTGTCCTATCACTCCCAAGGAAGAACCCCCAAGTCCTCAGGAGACATCAGTGGAGGTGGCCCAACCCCCTTCCTCACCCAGGCTTGTGGACCTTGCTGCTCCTACCTCGAGACTCTACCTACAGCGCCCACATCTCTCTGCATCCCCCCCAGTTCCAATGGCCCCTCCTCTAGGGGCCCCTCTCCACCCTCCAACCCCTGCTCTGCGTCACAACACTTCTGGCTACCGATGCTGTGGCAGGCATTTCTTTGTTTGGGACGCTGTCCTGCTCATCACTGTGTCCCCGGCCTTAGCACACTGCCTGGTACCTGGCTCATGAAATACTTCCTGAAGGGGGAACAGAGTGAACGGAGCTGCAGGGAAGGGGACATGATAGAGCCCGTCTGCCCCACGGGGAGGGCGAGGAAGGTGTGGGAGGCGTCTGCCCGCCTGGGGAGCTTCGAGGCCTGGCAGCTGTACCCATCATTGTTATTCACGAGAAGGAAGAGGGGGACAGGATGGAGGGGGCGGGGAACTGCTGGCCCGTGGCTCAGACGCGGGCTCCCTTTCCTTTCTCTCTCCCTGCTCCATGCTCTTGGTTTCCTTACAATCGCCAGGCTCTGGAGGTACACAATGGCTTCTGGAAATTGAATTTGTGGCAGGTAATAGGAGCCGGGAAAGAGAAGGGCAACAAAATAGGGCCTGCAGGCCTGTCACTGACGTCCCTTCCCAGCTGCTGCCATTGGGGGCCACGGCTGGCCCAGGGTCCAAGGGGTGGCCAGCAGCCGTAGTGGCAGCTAATTTCTTCACCGTCACAGAATTTTTTGTCCTCACACAGGCTGACCACAACTCTGAGAGCCTGGCGAGGGGGCGAGTTTTATCTGCCTTCATTATGTCAGCTCAACCTTTAAAACACATCTGGACTCAGAGCTCTTCCCCTGGGCCCCAGGCAGAGCACTGGCATCTCTGGCTCTCTCTGGCTTCCCTCCCAGAGTCTGGTCTCGAATAGCAGCCAGAGGGACCTTGGTAAAACCCACACTGGAGCATGTCATTCCTTTGTCCAGACCCTCTGTGGTGCCATCTCACCTGGGAAAAAACTAAATCTGTTACATTAGCCACCAAGGCCACAGAGCAGGCCCCCATGTCACCTCTCTGAACCTACTGTTACCACTCTCCCCCTCACCACTCCGCTCAGCCCCTCGGACCTCATCCTACCTCGGGGCAACCACCACTCCCACCTCAGGGCCTTTGCACCTGCTGTTCCCTCTATTTGGAATGCTCCTTCCTTGGGGAGCACTCAGGGGCCTCATCTTTTCAGTGAAGCTTAGCTGACCTCCTTATTTAAAATTCCAAGCCCCACCAATGTCCGCTGCCCCACACTTCCTAGCCCCCTTCCTGTCCACCTCCATCCCCAGCACTTATCCCTATCTACGTCTTACTTTTCCACTCTGTCTGCCTCCCTCGCTGGAATGTCAGCTCTAGGAGGGCAGGGATCTTGGTTCTGTCCACTGCTATATCCCCAATGCCTAGAATAGCTCCTGGCATATGGTAGATTCTCAACAAATGTTTGCTGAGTGGCTGAATGAATGAATGACAGAAAATTGAGGGTCAAGTTTAGGTTGCTGAAATCCAAACAGAAGGAGAGACAAGGCCCAAAGCTGTCTCTAACAACCTGCATTCATGTTTTCGTTCCCTCCCACAACAGGGGCTTGCTCTGGGCTGGGCATGGTGGTGAATGACACCAGCTCAGTCCCATCTAAGACGTTCCTGTCCTGGGGGGAGATCGAGAAGGAACCAGACAACTGCACCCCAGGGCAGGATGAGCACTGTGATGGGGGAGGAACCTGCTCCATTGCTGGGCTATTGGGACAGCTTCCTGGAGGGGGTGACACCGTAAAAAGACTAGAATCCAACTGACTCTCAGCTCAGGCCATCTCCATGCTGCAGTATTGCTGACGTACTCTGTCAGGGAGCTGTGTGGGTGGCTTGGTGGCACCTACCACCCTCTGACACCTCTCAACCTCAGCCCAGGCCCACAGAGCACAGCTTCACTGCTATAAAGACTCATGAGCCAGTTTTACCTCCAGCCCTGTTCTCCATTCCTTCTTGTATGGCCCATTTTCCTCTGAATTACCCACCTTTAACAAATGTCTCCTCCCCTCTGGTATTTAACAGTCATGGAAAGAGCTGGACATCCTGTGAGGCAGCGGAGGCACTCCAGCATACCTCCAGCCCTGTTCTCCATTCCTTCTTGTATGGCCCATTTTCCTCTGAATTACCCACCTCTAACAAATGTCTCCTCCCCTCTGGTATTTAACAGTCATGGAAAGAGCTGGACACCCTGTGAGGCAGCGGAGGCACTCCAGCTTCTATCTCAGGAAGCTCAAATTCTCGATACCTGCAGAGGCAGGCGTAGTAGAAGCAAAAGAGCCGGGTTCCAATCCTGGTCCTGCCCCTCCCCACGGTGGGATCTTAGGCCAGTAATTCCACCTCTGGGAGCCTCGGCTCCTCTTCTGTGATATGCGGCTCCTGGAAGCCCCAGGAATAATGGAACCAGACCATGACATGTGGATTCACTTTGTAAGCTGTGGGGTGCTCAGACATTTGACAGGTTATTGCTGTTCTCTGCACCTCTCGTTCATCTGGCACTAACTGCATTTGTGTGCATTTTTACTTGTGGACATGTCTTTTTTCAAACTGATTTTTAAGCAGGTAGTGTGAACACAACATGTGTTCCAGAGGTACCAGAGAACATATGGGAAAGGAACCCTCCCTCCATGGCGGTGCCAGGGTGGGGGGTCCTTACTGCACCAGCTCGCCCAGGAGATCCCTGTGGCTAATGATGATGGCTTAAACTTCTGGTGTGCCACTGCATCCCTTTCTCATCTCCCATCTGTGCCAGGCACAGGGGCCAGACAGTTGACCAGGGGTCCAGCCCAAGGGGCACCCCCCACGCACAGCCCACCCTCAGAACCTTTCAGGGAGCAACCCAGAGGGCTCAGGACACAGCCAGGTCCCTGAGGGACTCTCTGCCACTGAATGTCCCCAGGCCTGCACTGGCCCTGGCTCTGTGAGTGGTGGCTGCATCAGTCTTACTGGCTGCTGTGTCCCAGGTCCTGGCACATAGTAGGTGCTCCGTGATCACATGTTGAATGTAAAAGTGAATTAATAACTAAATGAAGAAATGAAACAGCTGCCGTGGGGATAGCAACAAGAAGGTGACGCTCTCCTTAGCAGACCTCCAGAAGCAGAGAAGCAGGGAGACAAAGCTGACAGCCTGCTTGGAAGTCAGCCCCGGCCCTGGCACCCCCCACCATGCACCTGTGCCAGACTAGCGTGGTGGGGGCTTCCAGGATAGTATGTGAGGGTGTGGTTATGGGGTCACAGAGAGGCAGAATAGGGAGCAACTGAGAAGTCATCTGGCTGGGGAAACTGAGGCCCAGAGGGAGGGGCATGCAGCTGGAGAGGGGAGACAGGACATAGG